CTTTCCCTAGTGAAGTCAGCTTCTGAGCTCCACCCCACCCCAGGCTGTCCTCATGTTATCCACATCACTGTGAAGTATTTCATTTGGTCACTGAAGAGTAGGCAGCGGTAAAGTCTATTTTAGCAACATTCTTACTACTGAAAGTCTTCAGTGCTGTCTGTTCTTTCTTAGCTCTTTATCTAGAGTTTATAATAGACTTAATATTCTGTAAGTGGAAAATACATCCGGGTAGCAAAGTTTTATTCGTGTTAGAGTAATACTACACTTTGAGTTAGAGTAACCCTAGGAGTAGAAACAAATGGGCCCAAAAAAGATATAATGGCAAAAACCCCATAGAAGTTTCTCCTCGTGGTATGGTCCAAGGCAGGTAACCCTATTAGAGGGCAGCTCTTTTCCATCCCATAGTAATCCAGAACCAGCACTTCTTCCACCTTGGGCTCCACCTAGCCTGGTAGTTGTCTGCATCTGGCTGGTACAGGGGGACTGTGTAGAAGGCACACCTACTTTGGGCTCAGGCCTGGTTACTCCACTCATTCTGTTAGCCACACCCAGATGAAAGCAAAACTTGGGAAGTGTAATTTCTGCCTAGGCAGCTTCCCAGTGACAAGGGCATGAATTCTAGTGGATAGCCAGCCAACTTGGCCATTAAAAGTAAGCCTGGGGTGGGAGGGGATGAACTGGAAAATTGGGATTGACATGTATACACTAATATGTATAAAATAGATAACTAATAAGAACCTGCTGTATAAAAAATAAATAAATAAAAATTTTTTTAAAAGTAAGCCTAAATGAAAGATCTATATAAATCAGAGCTATAATTTTTTTAATGTTGATACATTTATAAGCATATGTATTATTCATACGGGAAAAATAGAATATTTGCCTATATTTCTGTCAGTTTCAGATAAAAGGAAGTGGCAGAGGCTAAATTTACAACTTTCAAGATGTTTAACCTTTGCTGAAATTTTGAATTTTTAATTACAGGGAAATGGGGAGCAAAGTTAGGAACGCATAAAATACATATGAATGTTTGGCCTCAGAAAAATGACTGTTACATTTTTAGGATTGGCCCTTAATGATAGGGAACTGAATTTATTCAGAATATTTAGAGGTTTTCATTAAAGTGAAGTATCTATCTTAATAAGCATTTTCTGGTTCATCTGTTTATATTGCACTGTCATAATCTTTAAAGGAGTCAGTTTTTTTGCTATCAGGTTTGACATACTATTAAGGAAATTTTGATTTGTAGATATTACCAATACTGAAACTAAAAGAAATACATTTTCCTATTTGCAGTTTTATTCTATTTCATTTATACTTGTTATATACTAAAAAGATAAATAATTTGACCAGAAAAGCATAGAATTGCACACTTAGGACAAACAGATACATTTCAGTACTTCAAAAAAAATTGTTCTTAAGGAAAATTTTTATGTTTTGTTTTTGATTTTGTCTTTAAATCAGGTATTCTGGGGCTTAGATAAGAAACTAGCTCAACGGAAGCATTTCCCGTCTGTCAACTGGCTGATCAGCTACAGCAAGTACATGCGTGCCTTGGATGAGTACTATGACAAACACTTCACAGAGTTTGTTCCTCTGAGGACCAAAGCTAAGGAGATTCTGCAGGAAGAAGAAGACTTGGCAGAAATTGTACAGCTTGTGGGAAAGGTAGGTTGTAAAATCTGTGGAAGACAGGTCTGTGAGTTGCACTGAAGCTTTTTAAGGACAAACAGAACCTTGGATATGCAGATTCTTGCTGGGAGAATTAGTATTTATTAAATATTTTTTAAACTAATAGGATTTTAGATTATTCCTTTATTCAGCAGATATTTGAGGGACCTGCTTGTGTTATGGAAAGTAGAAAGATGATTGGTGTTTAGATTATTATTGAATAACAAACCACTCCGACATATAGTGGTTTAAATAGTGTTTTTTTGCTCATGGTTTTTGGGGTTAGTGGGCTCAGATGGGAAGTCTTGCTTGGGTCCCCTCATATAGTTTTTGCAGTCATATGGTGGCTGAGACCATAGTCATTTGAAAGTTTCTTCCCTCACATGTCTGGTGCCTGGGCTAGGATGATTGGAATAGCTAAGGGTTGGCTGGGCATTTCTCTCTCTATGTGGTGTTTCAAAAAAAATCAGCCTATTGTGTACCCATGTTCATAGAAACATCTAAGCACTAAAAGGGAGCAACCCAGATGTCCTTTGCAACACACTCGCGTGTGCACACGCACACACATGCACACACACACACACACACATGCACACACAATGGAATTAATATTCCATTTCAACCTTGAGAAGGAAGGGAAATTCTAACACATGTTGCAACATGGATGAACCTTGAGGGGACATTATGTTATGTGAAATAAACAAGTCACAAAAAGACAAATACTTATATATAACGTATCTGAAGTGGTCAAATTCATAGAAATAGAAAGTAGAGTAGTGGTTAACAGGGACCGGGAGGGTGGAAGGAGAGCTGTTGTTTAATAGGTATAGAGTTTCAAATTTGTAAGATGAAAAGTTATGGAAATCTGTTTCACAACAATATGAACATTCTTAGCCTACTGAACTACACTTAAAAATGGTTACGATGGTAAATTTATGTTATATGTTTTCACAACAAAATCCAAAAAAGAACATCAATCAGGAAGGAGTTATGAAGTGAATTTTTTTTTTTTTTTTGCGGTATGCGGGCCTCTCACTGTTGTGGCCTCTTTCGTAGCGGAGCACAGGCTCCAGATGCTCAGGCTCAGCAGCCATGGCTCACGGGCCCACCCGCTCTGCAGCATGTGGGATCTTCCCGGACCGGGTCATGAACCTGTGTCCCCTGCATCAGCAGGCAGACTCTCAACCACTGTGCCACCAGGGAAGCCCCTGAAGTGAATTTATTAATGATAGGTGATCGTGTGTTGGTTATGTGGTTTCTGCATGCTAACGGATTAGAACTAACGGATTAGAACTATCCCACGTTGTGGCAGTGAATTTCTAAAAATGTATTTTTTCCTTTTCTAGGCTTCACTAGCAGAAACAGATAAAATCACTCTGGAGGTAGCAAAACTTATCAAAGATGATTTCCTTCAACAAAATGGATATACTCCTTATGACAGGTAATCTAGCCTGATTTTCTTTTTTTAATTTGAGGATATTCTATCAAGTTTTGAAGAAGAAGCTGCCTACACAATAAAACCCTCCCCTCGGGGCTTCCCTGGTGGCGCAGTGGTTGAGAGTCCGCCTACTGATGCAGGGGACACGGGTTCATGCCCCAGTCCAGGAAGATCCCACATGCTGCTGAGCGGCTGGGCCCATGAGCCATGGCCGCTGAGCCTGTGCGTCCGGAGCCTGTGCTCCACAATGGGAGAGGCCACAACAGTGAGAGGCCCGCGTACCGCAAAAAAAACCCCAAAAAACAAAACAAAACAAAACAAAACCCTCCCCGCCTTTTTTTTTCTCATACAGACACACTCTGACTCAGTGTATAGGTTTATTTTATATTTTCATAGCAGACATCTAGTGATCCAGTATGTTCCCTTATCTTGAGTTGGCTCATTTTTCCAGTTATGACAGTGTTTTCACTCATTATCCAGCCATCTTTAATTAGATTAAATTGTGGCTTAGTGTACGGAGCCTGAGGATCATTGCCTCTTTCAGAAGCTTTTCTCACTACCTGTTAACCACAGCCTGTGCCTCTTCTACTCTTTTCCTAAATAATATACTTTTGTGCCTCATTTCCCAAGAGTTCTATTCTTTGTTTATTTATTTATTTATTTATTTATTTATGGCTGCGTTGGGTCTTCGTTGCTGCGCACGGGCTTTCTCTAGTTGCAGAGAGCAGGGGCTATTCTTTGTTGCAGAGCACGGGCTTCTCATTTTGGTGGCTTCTCTTATTGCAGGCTCTAGGCATGCGGACTTCAGTAGTTGTGGCTCGTGGGCTCTAGAGTGCAGGCTCAGTAATTGTGGCGCACGGGCTTAGTTGCTCCGCGGCATGTGGGATCTTCCTGGACAAGGACTCGAACTCATGTCCCCTGCATTGGCAGGTGGATTCTTAACCACTGCGCCACCAGGGAAGCCCAAGAGTCCTATTCTTTTTCTTTCTACTGAAGTCCTGTCGGACGTCTCACCAGTCCCTGCTACTCCTGCCCAGTGCTTATTTTTCATTATTGTCTCTGCTACTTCCATGGCTTATTTAGAAGTTCGCATTTCTTTTAAACTTTGATAATTTGAACCCTTTCATCATAGGCTAGTTTTTCTCCCTCAATCATATTTGGCCCCATATAAGACTAAAGTGGAAACCAAACACATAGGAAGATTACCAGAATGTAAGACAAGCAGAAAATATGACAGTATAATCAGTAAGCCTCAAAAAAAATCTATCAGGAACTTAAGAAGCTCTAGGAAGCATCCACACAAAGATAACTCCACAAAGGGAAAATTATTTGAAAAGAGTGTAATAGAGAGTGTGCATGAAATTGTGTATGCAAATAAGTTTAAATGTGTTGGAAATTTGATTAGAATGCATGTGATGCAAGTTGAATATTAACTTCTCTGTCTTTATTAAAAGATATGGGTAAATGAAAGTGAACACATTAATGGAGAAAGGGAATGCTTATTAACTTTAGGAAATTGCTGTTCCCTATTATTTATTAAACCTTGACCGACTGTCACAAGGGAGTCTTTATAACTCAGTTATTTTACCATTTGGGTAACTGCTTTAACTGTACTGTACAAACACAAACCCTCAGAGAGTCATTAGATTGTAGCAGTACTGTTTCATTGTTCTTCCTGTTTGATTGTGTTAACAAAAATTAACGTCACTCTTTAAATAAAAGAATACACAGCTCCATCTCTCCATCCACCCCCTATTCCTGAGACATCTCTGTCCAAAAACTCTGGTTATGTATTATTGATCTTTTCCACTATTCTTTTTTCATTCCTTATGTATCATGCAGTAAATATAAGTAGTGTGCATATCTAAATAAAGAAGTTAATGCTCTGGTATTTTACAGATGAAGTAAAAACTATGAACTTGCTTTGGATTTTGTTTTTGTTTATTATTTTGACTTTCATTTATCCTAGGTTCTGCCCATTCTACAAGACAGTAGGGATGCTGTCCAACATGATTGCATTTTATGATATGGCCCGCAGAGCTGTTGAAACCACTGCCCAGAGTGACAATAAAATCACATGGTCCATTATCCGTGAGCACATGGGGGAGATCCTCTATAAGCTTTCCTCCATGAAATTCAAGGTATATTTGTTTCTACCATAAACTTTTTTTAGTAGTGTTTCTTTTTGACTTTTTAAAATATTTGGGTCCCAAACCTGGTGTGTGAAACTGGCATTTATCATTTTCATACATGCTCGGGTTATGTAAAACCAGAAGAGACCTCAAAGCTGTGTTCAAATAGGAATTCACATGATAAAGACTATAGTATGTCATGTCTAAAATAAACGCTGACGTGTTTTCCTTTTTGTTTTAACTGCCAGGCGGTTTAGGGCTAAAATCATTGCTAAGCAGCAATTACCTTACCTCAAGTGCCTGTTAATATCTAATCCTGATGCTCCTCTGAAACGATTTCTGCTGCTTACTTCAAGTATCCTATTACACATCATTTTTACTTTTAAGTAGACTCTCTCATTCTTTGGGAAGTACACAAGACATAAATAGATAATTAAGTGAAATCATCTGTAGAAACTCAAGTGTGTAAGATTGTTTTTAAAATACTTGATCAGTCGAGAGTTGTATTTAATTATTTCTAAGTCATGACATCCAAGTATATTTACTAATCTCCTACTGAGAAATTAAGAGTGATTCTCTGAATGTGTATGTTATGTATATAGTGTTTGCATTATAGATTGGAAGTAAATTTGTATAGACACTCAGTGTATCAAGGATTTGAAAATATTCACACTCTTTGAGTCCTGTCTTTCCATTTCAAAACATATAACCCAAGGAAATAATTAGAGATTTTGATATGGATGTATGTAGAAGATTGTATATTAAACTTTTAAATGTCATCCAAAAGTGAACGGAGCCATTGTGGCATGTACATTACAGCAAAAATATTATAAAGGCATTAACATCTTTTTTTCAAAGAATATCCAAAGACACAGGGAAACGCTTATGGTATAATTAGTGAAAAAAGTTGGTTGCAAAGAAATTCCATATGTAATTTGATCCAAATTTTATTTTTAAAAATTATACATTCATAGGAAGATGATAAAAAAATATATGCAATAATATAATAGTGATGACTTCTGGTAGTATAACTAAAGGTGCTGTCTTTTTTCTGTTTACAGGTATATTGTATCAAATTAACATTTCATTTGTTCTTTAATATCATTAAGTATTTTTCTATAGCACTATTTTGTGGCTGGAGAATAATATTTTCCTATTCTTAGGCATTTAGGAAACTTCCAGTTGTTGGTATGGACAACTTTGTTCGTGTAGTTGGTTTTGTGTATTTTCCTAGTATGTGTTCTCAGAAGTGGAATGATTGGGTCAGAGGGCTTAAACACTTTAAGGTTTCTTTCATACATTTTACTCAATTAAGTTGCTTTCCATACAGATTTTAAATGGGGTGCATTTTGAGGTTATTTTAGAAATTTTACTCCCCCGTCCCAACGTGAAACTACCAGACCTTGAATAGTAAATTGTTTTGATTAAATTCCAACTGTCATATACACAGAGGAATGCATCTAATACACATTGCTGCGTAATTTCCTAATATTTTGCATATCGTTGAGGGTAAATCCATTGGTTGTTGAATACAGTTAGCAAGCAAGACACAAAACGGAAATTTTGTCTTCTGTTTGGTTGGACGACTACTTTATACATTTCTACCCTTAAAGGAAAAAAGAAAAATAAGGTTAATTCTGCCTCCTGCCTGTGTTTTACCAGTGTACCTCAACCTAGTACTCAAATATAGTAAATATAAATAACTTACTATGTGTTCTGAAAATTATTTTCCAAAGGTAAATTGAATTCTGTCATGTCTTCTTTCAGGATCCAGTGAAAGATGGTGAGGCAAAGATCAAGGCCGACTATGCACAACTTCTTGAAGATATGCAGAATGCATTCCGTAGCCTTGAAGATTAGAACTGTGATTTCTTTCCTCCTCTTCCTCAGCAAGCTCTCATATGTGTATATTTTCCTAAATTTCTCATCTCAAACCCTTTGCTTCTTTATTGTGCAGCTTTGAGACTAGTGCCTATGTGTGTTATCATTTGTTTCCCTGTTTATTTGGTAGGTCTTATATAAAACAAACATTCCTTTGTTCCAGTGTTTGAAGGGCCTCCCTGATCCTTTCTCCAAAGTGATGAATGTAGTAAATAGGATATACAATGGCTACACTACTGTAAATGTGTATGTAGGGTGACGTCTCTCCTTGTCCTAGGTTTGCCCTTTCCTCATTGCCATTAAATTGTAAACAGGACTGCTGCGTGTACTCTCTTTGCAATGGATTTGGAATGGAAGGCCAGACTTCTATACATTTTGTCAGGTTCATTGTGAAATGACTCAATATCTGTGTGGTAAAGTTGTTTGCAGCTTAGCATTTTGCTAAGTAACTTGCTTTGTAGGAAATAATTACTTTTTTAAAATGTGAATAATTAATGTTTCTATTATGTGTTGCTTCCCCCAGTATAAATCAAGAATATTTGTGGGAAACTGTTGAGAACTGTACTGTTTTTAAAGCAGGCATTTGTGGGACTCAGCACAATAGATGAATCAGTGCCCTCTAAAAAAGTGAAAAAGGAGCCAGGTGATCAAACTTAGATTAACATCATCTTGTTAAAGCCTATTTTACTTCACTAGGAAAAATTCGGTATCAAGGACTATTATACTACGTTACTAGGAAATTCTTTTTAAAATTACGTTTAAAACAATCACCGAGAACTTGATCCACATCACACCCTCTTTTTTTCCCTCAAACATCGTAAAAGCCTAAGCTTCTAAGAATCATGTGGCAATGTGATGGGCAGTAAAATGTCACAGAGAAGATATTTAGTAGTGGTTAAAGGCTGTTTGCACCTTTAAGGACCAGCTGGGCTTTAGTGATTCCTGGGGCCAGAGTGGCATTATGTTTTTACAAGATACTGACATGTGTCACATGTTCGTTTGTTTGCTAATTGACTTTTGAACAACCAGCTTCCTGACTGTAAAAAATATTATTCTTTCACATGGTTTTTGATTCACTGGCTCAAAAGATTTCTCAGAATACCTGTAGCTGTAGCAGCATAACAGTTTCCATTCTGTTTCATAGGGATGAAGTCATTTCTTATATCTGCTGATAACAGAATCTGGGTCATGTGAAAAAAAGATCATTTCTTCCTATCTTTTAAGTATATGTTTTAAAATAAAAGTTTCTGTGTTTGTATGATAAGTCACATTAGGTAATGTATTTCTTTTGGTCTGTTAAGGAAAGATGCAGTTAGAGAATTCAGCTATGTTTGTTTAAATCCTTGCAGATTACATGTTCTTACAGTGGCCTGCTGTTCAGGATAAGTATTCTGCCATGTATCTTTTTTTAACCTTTCGGAATATTGGAAGATAAGAATTGTGCAGTGATTTGTTGAGACGTGGATGTAATGGTGCTGCTGAATCAGTTTGCTTTCCAATGTGGCCTCCTACCCAGAGGCCCTAAGACCAGTGGAAATTAAAAGAATTTCAAAAACTTTCAATTCCTACCTTAAACCTACCAGCAAACTAGGATTGTGTTAGTAATGAATGATATGACGAAGAAAGTTTGACCAAGTTTCTTTTGTGTTTTTCTGAATTTGCAATGTACATTCTTACTCCTTTTTAAGAATGTTGATGTATGGGTGTGAACATGCTAGAGAAACTTTGCTCAGAGCCTCATTGTAAGTGTTCCTTCACCCATATGTTGTAGAATTTCACATTGGTCACTGATCATATTTCTTTAGTAAGAATGTGTTAAAGTTAACAACAGTCTTTTAAAAAGATGATGCAGTTCTATATTTATTGTGCTGTGCCTGATCCTAAGTGGAGCCAGTTAGCAAGTTTCATATGTATTTTTCCAGTGTTAAATCTCACACATTGTACCCTTTGGAAACTTCCTTCCATCCTGACGAACGAATAGAAGAGGTCATATATATTGCCTCCTTATCCTTGAGGTGTCACTATCTTTATGTTAAAAGTTGTGTATAATTGTTAAAATCTATGAAAGAATAAAAAGTGGATTTAAATGAACATTTTTCCTTTTTTTTGTGGGTGTGGCAAGATCTGCTAAAAAAACGTGCCACCTTATTGTATTTTGGCTTGTTTTCAGTATGAACTTTATAAAGTTTTTTATTTCCCTCTTTATAGATTGTTTCTTAAGATCATGAAATTGAATTGGCGCCCTCACTATAGACTGCAAAAAGTCCTAAAATCATGTACCACTGTGGTTTGGAAATATAGTACATGGAATCCCATAGCATTCTGAATATTACTTTAAATTGAAAAAATGAATGGTTTCTAAAAGTAGACTTATAAATGAAAGGAAATCAGTGTACTCATCTCTACTTTTGGCACATGAACTAAAGCTTTGTAATTCGTAATTCTGCAAGCCAAATTATTTAAGATCCAATGTAGCAACATGGATTTTATTTCCTTAAGTATATTTTTAACAATTTCTAAAGGAGTAAGAAGCAGTGTGAAATGAAAAACTCTACCAACTTTATGTAGAGAAGTACTTAAAAATTCATGGGAAAGCTTATTCATTATAGAATGGGTGATTTTTAGTATTTTTTGGTAATAATACAATATTTTCAGGTTATTAGTTTGAATGTATTGCCACAATATAAGAGTATGAAGAAGGGAACCAATTTTCCCAGGTGAGGTATGATAAAATGCCTCTGAAGTTGTTCTAAGGGCTCCCTTTTAGTTTGAGTTCCCCCAGAAGTTGACACTGAGACATGTATTTGCATGCAGGCAGTTTATTTGGGATGTGATCCTAGGAAAGCACCAGTAGGGGAATAGAGAATTAAGACAGAATTGAAGGAAGCCAATACATGTTCTTATCAAGCAAGTCAACATTTTGGAGCACCATCCTGCTGGGGAGTTGTGGGAACAACTGAAAAATATGCACCTCGTTATATTCCACCCGGGGTGCAAAGGAACTAGCGTCCCTTCAGCATCATTGATTGACAGGCACCTGCTGTCAGTCATCCACTGAAGGCTGTTCCCACAAAGACGGAGAGTCAGTGCCCAGCACATGAGTATAAGTAGATCGGGCTCTGGTGGCCACAGGAAACCCTCTGCAAAGAGATTTAGGTGCCGGCAGTTGGGAGGTCAGCTGGTGGGCACTGAAATGGTACTCATGGCTGAAGAGATTTGGATAGGGAACTCATAGTATCTGCTTCAGGCCTCTTAAGACACAGGAAAAAAAGATTGTTCAATCAATAACTGAAAAGCCATTGTTCTGCAACATAAAGAAGCACCCTGTAAAAGGATCGGGACACTCTTTGAAAAGAGTTTTTAAAAGAGCATCTCTTCAAAGAGAAAAGATGTCTTTTAAAGAGCAGATAGTACACACACCAATTATGATTCTAAATAGGCAGATGGGGGGTTTAATGCTCCTGAAAATAAAGCAGTTTCTTGGATTAGTGGGGATTTTGATCATATATTCCAACCCCCTCATAATACAGAAGAGAAATGGAAGTTTAACTGATTTGCCCAGTGTCACACAGCAACCTAATATCAGAATTCAGACCTCCTGATTTCTAGTGTCTCTTTGTACTCAATCATACTGTGTATCTTTTCCTTATTATGTACTTTTCATTCAGAACCAAGAAGTTGGGTTTATAAATGTGAGACAGATAAAGTAATCAGAAGAAAAGTAGGGAGAAATGACTGGCTAGCCAGGGTGCTTGTGGACATTGTCATGAATCAAGTCATTTTTAGAAGGAAAATGTGTTTGAGAAACTGTTGAGTTTGAGCCAGAGTTTAGGAAGGTGAGTCTAGAAATAGCCATTTTTACCAGAATTATGTAACAGAAGTCTTTAAAGTGGGGAGGAGTAAAAACATAAACAATTATAAATACCTTATTAAGGATTTATATCCAGAATATATGAAGAACTCCAAGTCAAAAAAAAAAAAGATAAATGATGACATAAATGGATGAAAGACCTGAACAGGCACCTCACAAAATCGTTGAATAATGATGGTCAGCTTCTAGTCATCAGGGAAATGTGAATTAAAATTACCACGAGATACAATTTTATATACACTAGAATGAATAAAATGGAAAGGACAGAGAATACCAAGTGTTGTGGAGCAACCAGATGTGGAGCAACCAGAACTCATACATCTTTGCTGGGAGCATAAATTTCTACAGCCACTTTGGAGAACTACTTTGGGTGGTATCTACAAAGTTGAGTTAGTAATACCTAATACACAATAGAAATGCATACATACATGTTCACAACCAGAAGATATGACCCAAAACGTTTATAGCAGCACTATTTGTAATAGCCCCAAACTGGAAAGTACCTAAATGGTAGTATGGAAGAATGGATAAGTGGGTTGTGGTATATTCACACAGTGAAATACTATGTAGACGTGAGAGTTAATGCAACAACATGAATGAACCTCACTAATAATGTTTAAAGAAGCCAAAGGAAAGACAGTATACTGTATGATTCCATTTATATAGAATTCAAAAGCATAAAACTAATATATGGTGTTTGAAGTCAAGATAGCAGTTACACAAGTGGGGAAGGGAGTGTCATCAAGAGGGTGGAATATGGGGGCCTTCTAGGGTGTTGGTAATGTTTTGAGTCTTGTGGATCCTGCCATACATGGGTGTGTTCATTTTGTGAAAATTCACACACGATTCAAGCACTTTCTTGTATGTATATCATACTTAAATTATGTTTACCAAAAACATTACCCTTAAGGGATTTCTATTTATTTAAAGTAGTTTCACACTAAGATATGTATAGTGGTGGTTTTAAAGTGCTTTTGAATTTTACCTAGTAAAATGATCACATTTTTGTTTGTTTGATTTTTAAATGTGCATTTTTCTAGCAGTGGTGATAGATTTGAATTTTTCAATCCAGGAGCTCTCAGTTCTGTTTGCAAAAGTAACTTACTTT